ATTCCTTCCGCTAAGTGTACAAGGGGCCCCAAGTACACAAGTGGAGGTAGCCGACAACTCCGGTACTTTTCCACGCTTACTCACTCTACACTAGAACTAGCTAGAGAGCTAAGATATGAATAGAGCTCTTCTCTTCTTGTCACATTGTGTCTCTCTTGTGTTGTGTATTCCTTGATGATCAAATGAGGAGGGGATGGCCTCCTTTTATAGGTGGAGAGGAGGGGGTCCTTGGAAAATGCTTCATCCCCTCATGGAAAGCACCAAACCGACCTCAAACCGACATCCTAGGTACGTTGAACCTGGCCAACCCCTATGGGACTGATGTGGGTAAGGCAGTGAGAGGCCACACCCCAACTAGACCCAAACGTCCCCAGCTTTGGTGTGTTGCCTTCCTTGGGCGCCTAGATAGGTCCTGCAAAGTTTCACGCCATTTGGAGTTGATTTGGTATTGGTTTTGGTCTTTTCTCTCCACCTGACTAGGACCTGATTTGCCTAGTAAGTGGGCCTTCTCCTCTTGGGCTCATGTCGAATGATGTTATGCCTTGTCTTGATATGTTCTTTGTGTACTTTTGACACGTTTCTTGAGTTATCCCGATATGTCCTCCTGCAATTGATGAATCACCAAAACTCGTGGAACTTTGTCAGTTATGAGCCATATTTCTAAGTTTGGTGTTCGTTTGGATGGATTTTATATAAGTGTTGGCGGTTAAAAGTGTGAGTTAAGGACCGCCAACAATGTTGTGTTATTCTTCCATTGTAACCGAGGCTGTTCACGGTGTTTTGGGTATATGAATTTGTGACATTTTCACCGTCAACAGTACATGAGTTAAATCATCTGCATGTTACATCCATTCTTATCAAAATTAGTTGCATTAAAAAAGTTGGATGTTGATGGGATGATATGGATATTAGTGGGAGATGATGTAGATACTTAATGAAAAATTATGTGGATGACTTGCGTACTGAGATAGAACCTATATTGAGGATTAGCTTTATAAGAGAGATATATTACCTTGTGCATTTGTACATTTGATATTTTTATAGCCCAGTTTACAAATATTTCTAATAGATATATACTCTTTCCATCCTATAAAATGTGTCATTCTCAGTTCTCGAGAAGTCAAACATTTCAAAAATAACTAAATATATAGAAAAATATTAATATTTATGGTACATAATTAATATCATTAGATAGATTGTTGAATATATTTTCATAATAAACTTATTTAGAGATACAAATGTTGCTAATATTTTCTATAAAACCTAGTCAAAGAAAAAAAGTTTGACGTGTAGGAATCACATAGGGACATTTTATATGGGACAAAGGGAGTACGCGGAAGAGGTGTCCAAAAAATACACAGTACAAGCATCCACAATTCTAACAAGATCATACCTAAGATATGAACAAAATGCTCCTATAAGAACGACTGATGATTGCTTCCGTTATATAGAAGACAATATTATTATTGAGGAGGGCATGGCGAGTATATTATAAACGAGCATCCCCTAATCGGCTAATCTTTATTTTAAATATCTAGTGCTCTTCCTTAGGCTCCCGTGCATCATGTAACACAATAATAGTTTAGCGTCAACATGATACAGAGAACGTGCCGTGTGTATGTGTCGTGGGTTCGTAACAACGACAAATATCGTGTTGTTCGACGTGGGTCGATGTATGGATCTTCAGTGGCTTAAACACTCAAAACACTCTAGGACACGAATGATTTATCCTAATTCGGGTCTCTGAGCCCTATGTCCAGCAGTTTGGTGTTCTAGGAATGCTCAAATGAGAGAGTTCACTCAAAACACACAAACGATTTATCCTGGTTCGGGGCTCTGAGCCCTATGTCTAGTAGTTTGGTGTTCTTCGTATTAAAAATGCTCAAACGAGGGAGTTCTTACAATGAAGGAATCAATGTAGAAGAGTAGGGGGGAGCGCTATGCTGGCCTAAGGTTTCAGTCTGTTCATTTGATCGATCTGCTGATCTCCCAATGTTCTACTAGTTGGTCAATCTATTCGATCTTTTGGTCTTTTTCTAGTCCCTTCTACAGGAGCCCATGCCTCCTCTTATATATTGAGGAGGGCATGGCGGTACATCAGAGGGTTTTGTTTAGGGTTCTCACCCTTATGCTTCTGGTTCCTATGTCTTGGCGCCGCTGGGTCCTTCTTTGTCTTGTAGCTAGGGGCGGACAAAACCTTAACCACTCCCTGACGTCTCTATTGTAGGCTGGTGCTTGACCACCAAGCGTTGTCTGTCGTAGTGGAACCTTCCCTGGGTGAGCCTTCTCCTAGCTTCTTTGGCACGCCAGGCCCCTTCCTCTGCCTGGAGGGGCTGCCAGGCAGGCCTGGAGTCCCCTGCCATGGGCTTCGAGGCCTTCTTGTCCTGACGCGTCACACGTCGGGTGTGACACTACCTAGGGAGTGGCTACCAATGCCTCATGGCTCTAGAACGAGGCGACGATGTAGTGCTTATCCACCTATGCGCCTGACTATTTCGGAGTTGGCTTCTGGCTTTTCCCAAAACGAGTGTTCACCCTAGCCAAAGACTTGAACGGTTGTGGAAGCAATGGTTCAGCCAAGGCTCCCCTTGGGTAAAGAATCCTTGTATCTTTGGCTGAGCCCCAGAGCCCAGGGCGAAGGTGACTCTGCCTTCTTAGGCCCGGCCCTCTAATATTGGGGACTCCTTCGTGGGAGGGGTGCCTGTGGGCTACTGAACCATCCCTTGTTTTGCTAGTGGGTGCATGCGAGCGCACCCAAGGGAATGTAGCCCCCGAGCTTTCGGCTGATTGATAGGTCGAGATGATGGATTAGAGGGGGGTGAATAGTCCTTTCTAAAACTAATTGCACCGGCTAACCAAAACAAATGTGGAATTAAAACTATTCGGTCTAACCAAGACAACACCCCTCTATCTAAGTTCACAAGCACCTTACAAAGTTATCCTAATTGAGCAACTAAGGTGCCAGGCTAGGTAAAGCTCACTTATACAATTCTAGTTGGCAAGGTCACACAAATCTATGCAACTAGTACTCAAATAACAGGGGAGCTCCTACACATACTAGTGATGTAAAGCGCACAAAGCCTAAACGTACTAGTACTTCTCAACTAGCAAGGCTACACAAGCCAAACTAGAGAGCTCAACAACTACTTATCTATACAAACTAAGCAAGGCAACTTAGCTACACAAGCTAAGAGAGCAACTAGCAAGCTACACAAGCAAACTAGCTATACAAGAGCAACAACACAAGCACGAGTAATAACAAGTAAATACAATCTTGTGTATGGAGATTGCAAACCAATGGGAAGATGACGACACGGTGATTCACAGAAATTGCTACTTTAATATGTGCTTCTAACTTCCGTAGGGATGTTAGGAATTGGAAGCTCCTCAACCGCAGCACCCTCATCTGCTTCCTTAAAACCCATGTCCTCATAGATTTGGTCCTCATTCACCAAAACATTAGTTTCACCATCACAGTCAGACTCAAGCAATATAGTTAATGTGCTCCAATCAATAGCATGTTCATCAGCTCTGGCTTCTCTAGGAATGTTGCAAGTGCAACGTAAACCTTCTATATGTTTTACATTAACGACCCCTGAAGTGACAACAGTAGAAGACTCAAAGTGGCTAGAATTGCTAGCTATTGTAACCTTTTCATACCCATCTTTCTCAACAACATCACAACCATGCATTTCCTTCTCACCCAACCTAAACAGAATCGTCTCCTCAAATTGCTCACTACTAGTAACCTTCCACTCTGTTACACTATCTCTGCCAACACACCAAACTAGTAGTTGCTGGCTGGACCCCCATATGATCTTGCTAGCCATATCATCTAGGAACCTAGAAAGTGTGTACACATTATAACTGTCAAACCACAGGTCATGTTCTTGAACTTCTATGTCAAGTACTCCATAGCCATTAAACAATGTGTAGCAACACTGACATGGATTCTAAAAGCATTGCGAGGATCAATCCTGACAAAATCATACACATAAAAAACTAGGGGGAGTTAGGACCAAACCAACTCCACTGTCTACATCACATTCATCGTTAGAAATGAAATAAATACAGGGCAAAAACATAGATACATACCACGGGAGGCAAGGAGACAACACCATATTGTTACTATAGGTTTGGCCTCCATCCAACGTCTTGCAACATAACATGCATGATTGCGAATCCGGAACCCTAACCGCCATCAACATGCCACAAAACCCTAACCGCACATATCACAATAACCACATATGCCGCGCCTTGGGACAAGAGGGCTCTAGATCTAACCTTGGAGGCCGCCGTGCTATGCTGGGACTTGCCACCGCCATCTCCGTGCTCCGACTTGACATGGCCGCCTCCCTCCAATCCTCATCTAGCTCGTGCCGCCGTTGGGAATGAAAGAGTGAGAACGAGAGTGGGCAAACGGGGGTAGACGGACACGCGTTAAGTCGGAGACAGCAGGGGCAAAAGTGTCTTTATTTGCGCGTGCCTACGTGTTCGGGCTAGGGTAAGTTCCACGTTGGTGATGTGAACTGGTGTGCCACGTCACTGAAAATGACAAAAAAGTAGGGTAGCTACTGTTTTTAGTGACAATTTTGTATTTGTCTTTCTAAAAAGCTGGAAATTGAATTGGTGGCCTCCATATGAGTGCCAAATAGTTAAATATCCTTGGCAACCACTATTAACGGAAAGATGACATGTGGTTGGTCCACGTGGATCTGCGCTATTAATCCAAAAATGGATGCTATACCTATATCTCATTGGGCACAAATTAGAGCTTAATTAGAGTGAAGCGCCAGAGAATTCGGTGACCACAGAGATTATCTAGGACTAGCTAGCCACTTATTGTCGAGGCTTTATTGTGCGGCTACAATCGTACTTGCCCACTTTAATGAAACACACAATTACTTTACACTCCAGTATATATATATGAATTGGTACAGAAACCAGCCAACCAACCGTGAAATTCTGAGCATCGATCGAGAGTGTCCCCAATGCAAGGCATGGCACACCATCGTCTTCACCACCGGCTCCAACTCGTGTGCCTCGTCGCCGTCGTGTTGACGGCCGCCCCAGCTGCCCATGCGATCTTCCATTTCGACTTCCGTTTGGACACCGACAGCCCGTTCTTCGGCCGCTCTGCCCGGGCTTCCAGGTATGACACTTGGCGTCGCGCCGCCCTCGAGAGCAACGCCCGGCAGGCGAGGAGGCTCGCCAAGGCCCTCGGCAAGCTGAGCGGGGCCGCCGCCCCCGCCCCCGCCCCCGCCGACGCCACCACCGACATCGCGGCGGCCGACGTGACCATCTCCCCGTACACCCACCAGGGCCACTGCCTGACCGTGGGCGTGGGCACGCCGCCGCAGCCTAGCAAGGTGATCCTGGACCTGGGCAGCGACCTCCTCTGGACGCAGTGCAGCCTGGTTGGCCCCACCGCGAAGCAGCTGGAGCCCGTGTTCGACGCCGCCAGGTCGTCCTCCTTCTCCGTCCTGCCCTGCAACAGCAAGCCGTGCGAGGAGGGCACGTTCACCAACAAGACCTGCACCGACCGCAAGTGCGCGTACGAGAACTACTACGGCATCATGACGGCCACCGGCGTGCTCGCGACCGAGACCTTCACCTTCGGGACGCACCACAACGTCTCCGCCAACCTCACCTTCGGCTGCGGCAAGCTCGCCAACGGCACCATAGCCGAAGCGTCCGGCATCCTGGGCCTGTCTCCGGGCCCCCTGTCCATGCTGAAGCAGCTGGCCATCACCAAGTTCTCCTACTGCCTCACCCCCTTCGCCGACCGCAAGACCAGCCCGGTGATGTTCGGCGCCATGGCCGACCTGGGCAAGTACAAGACCACGGGGAAGGTGCAGACGATCCCGCTGCTGAAGAACCCTGTGGAGGACATCTACTACTACGTGCCCATGGTGGGGATCTCGCTCGGGAGCAAGCGGCTGGACGTGCCGGAGGACGCCCTTGCGATAAAGCCCGACGGCACCGGCGGCACGGTCCTCGACTCGGCGACCACGCTGGCGTACCTCGTGGAGCCGGCGTTCAAGGAGCTGAAGAAGGCCGTGATGGAAGGCATCAAGCTGCCGGTGGCGAACCGGAGCGTCGACGACTACCCGGTGTGCTTCGAGCTGCCGCGTGGCACGTCCATGGAAAAGGTGCAGGCGCCGCCGCTGGTGCTGCACTTCGAAGGCGACGCGGAGATGTCGCTGCCGCGGGACAGCTACTTCCAGGAGCCGAGCCCCGGGATGATGTGCCTGGCGGCGATGCAGGCGCCGTTTGAAGGCGCCCCCAATGTCATCGGCAACGTCCAGCAGCAGAACATGCATGTGCTATACGACGTGAGCAACGGCAAGTTCTCCTATGCGCCCACCAAATGTGACAGCATCTGAGCTGCTACTTATGCTTTGCAACTAGTACTATACAAAGATAATTTAATTTGTTTTTTTTTGTATCTTCAAAATTCATAGGCCAAGATAATTTCTATATATAGGCATTAATAATCATCTCGTCAAGAAACCTTTTTGTAGGGTAGACATGCTTGCATTCTGTAATAGTCAATGGATAAAAACAATAATGAGGCCTGTTATTACCAAGAAAAAGTGAACAAATAGAGATGAAGAGAGAAGAAATCATGAATAATTTCATACTCCTCCAAGCTCTGGGTGTCAGAAGACATTACTGATGATAAAACGTTTCAATAAAGCTTTGACTGCTCACAGTTCATAACCTAGAGCATTGTCTATTTTTTTTTACCGGAGGAATATTTTAGAAAACTAGCCAATACCCCACGTGTTGCCGCAGGTCAACCATAGTAAGTGATTGGTTGAATACATGATTTTGTTCTACATATTTGCTGTTTATGACACTATTAAAACATATATGAAGACTTTTAGGTTAACTGCCTATTATAAGTGCATAAAGAAGAAAGGCTACACCTCAAATAGGTGCTAAAAAAGAACCGATGGCAATATAACATCATCAACCTTAGAGAAAGGCCGAAACTATGAAGTGGCAAATTTGAACAATTCCATATGAGGATTCGAGCAAAGTATTCCTTTATGGTGAGCTTCCACATAAGCGTCAGGGATTCATTATAAATATTTGCACTATGGAGGGAATGTATGATAGAACCTTCGATGCAAAATTACATATGCTGAACTGCAATGCGAAGGTAATATCATATGAATTGTTTGGTTGAAACAGCATGCTATATGCACCACTCGTCCAAGTATGAATAAAAAGCTAGTCAATCGAATCGAAGAGCAGGAGGGGTCCACCATACCACAGCAACAAATCTCAGTTATGCCATGTCAGAAGAGACAGGAACTGCAATGCAAAGCCGATACACATACACCTTGTTAAGCCTTTACAGAGCGTGAAGAGCACAAATTTGATGACACTATCCAGATTTGAGAGGTAGGCAAACTAAGTCCCACCTCTTTGTTTGAATCAGGCAATCAGCAAGACCATTGAACCACGATGTATAGGCCATCATATCACTGGTCGTCATTGTCAGGTGATTAGCACAAAAATGCTGAAGACTAAAAAATGATTACAAATGCAGATTTGTGGGAAGGAGATCAGCAGACATAAATTTACAAAGACATTGCTGCAGCCCCGGGTCCTGTATTTTTCTGTTTACTTTATCTGGACTGCAATTTTTTTTAGACAGCTAAGCAGAATGGGTTGACGTAAAATGTAGATTCAAGCAATCAACAGCTATACAACAGCTTTAATAGAGCCAGTGTAAAAAAAAACTAACTGAAGAACTACTGTTTTAGATGGTAACAAAATAAGGGATACAATTGCAATAATCTTTGAGTCAGTTTTGCTCAGGACAAACTGTGATAATTTAACCAAAATCTCGACTTGTTCTACTATTGATCCCTATATGTTGCAGGGTATCCAAGAAATTGAGAATAGGAATAACAATCACAACCTCTGTGCAGCTGGTAGTTCTAGCTAGCGCAGCCATACTACAGTGCTTTGATTTAGGCTCACAACATCCGCAACGGCAGCCACGGCAACACTGCCTGCCTGCAGTATCTCATCTTTCTCTAAATGTTATTGACCAAAATGTCAAAGTTATCGAGGACGAAGTAGCACTCACCCTCAGGTAACTGCTTGTCCAGCGCCTTGTCCAGCCTGGAGCCTATTGCACCCATTTGCACCCCCACCCATCATCGTGTACTGGCGGAGCATTGTGGAGGCGAACCTGGGCTCTTGGCCCTCCCTTGGTTGCATGTTTTGTCACGGCATATAGTACTGCTGTCATCCAATTACTATGTAACAACTGCTCTATCATTGCCCTGTTCGTTTGGGCTTGTTTGGCTGATAAGCCAGGGCTAAAAGTAGTGTTGGCTGATTTAGTGTGAGAAAAAAAATACTGTTCGTTGGCTGATAAGCCATGGCTTATAAGCCAAACACGACCAAGCGAACAGGCTACATGCTGTGAAGCTATGCATGAAAAGTAAAAAGTCTAGGTTGTAGGAAACAGATAAAAAATCACAAAAGAGCCTATTACATCATATTGCTGCTAGCTGCTATAGTTGTCATTGAAATTTAGCCCCTCCTTGTTTTATACCCACACTCCGTGCAATGGTCCTTATGATATCAGGTATTCAGGTCTGACAGCAACAATATGGCTACAGTGTGCAGAAGATTTTTATAAAAAGAAAAGTAAGTCTTAGAAAATAGGTGAAAAAAAGGAACCTGCTCAAGTATATTGTTGGCAACACAGTTCAGAGTTTGAAAGCCATGAATCAAGTGTCACAACAAATTGTCCAATTAAAATGTTCCTATATTTTTTTCCCAGATACTGCACATGTGTAGTCTCAAAGAATTAGAGAACCACAGACACAAAAGTATTTTCATACATTAATGTGAACCTAATATCAAGCGAAACATTGGAAACCTCATTTGTCTGAATTAGCACGCCAGCTGAAAGACAGATAAGGCAGAGCAGCAGACACATTTAGCATAATTGTGTACTTTTGCATAAAATGAAGTATTCACTATTAGATGAGAACACTCAAGTATTTTATGCAGCAAACAATTAAAGAGCTGTGCTCAGTTAAGTACATAGTGGTAAACAATTATAAAACAGACCTGCACAATGGACGCTGCTCAAGTACTCACATCAAGCAGCTGCAGCACTGCGCTGGCATGTCATTCCACGCAGCTGCACCGGCGCTCCCGACAATTATATTATTCCAAATGAATGTCTGAATGCATGCTTTCTTGCAAATGTTATCTCAAGTCAAGCACAAAGGGTGATTCTTGGTAAAAGGATAAAAGAGGAAATTTGTAAGAACCAAAATTGCAGAAGCAAAATTCTATTCCAGTGACATTTGTTGTCAATTTCTACCCTGCTTTGTACTCATCTAAAGTAATTAAGATCCTGTAAAGGGGCGTACCCAGTGCAGAGAGCTCCCGCTCTGTGCGGGGTCTGGGGAAGGGTGTCAATGGCAAGCCTTACCCTCGCCTGTGCAATACGAGGAGACCGCGACTCGAACCCGGGACCTTCCGGTCACAGGCGGTAAGACTCTACCGCTTGCACCAGGCCCATGCTCCATTTTTTTTTGCAAACTACAGGAAGGTAGAAGAGTAAATATACCAGCAACATCCAAGTAAAATGTCATGTATTTAGATCCAAGAGCTAGGAGTCACATTGCCATAAAGTAGGAATCTGGGAGTGCAACATCTATTCATAACAAAAAAGGCAATCTTTCATACAAAAAGATAACTATATTTTTTCGGTAGAAGCAGCGCTCTGCAGTAGACAATGTAGCATTCCCATAGCCCAAGGTAGAACACTGAAATATCGATAGCTAAGCAAAGGGGTAGCATAACATGACGAAATGCACATGATAAGTCAATTTCAGATTGTCTAGAATCTAGAAACTGGACTGTAAGCTCAGCTGGAGCGAGAATATTACATTTGATTGAAATAACTGGCCTCCATTAATGGTTCACAGCATACGTTGCCAATTTAAAATATGTTGGCTACAGGAAACTTACATTTATGACAGTAGCACTGCTGGAAGTATAACCATTATCAAATTTGATGAGCAATCTGTAATGGGGAGGGTGTTATCTCAACAATTAGTAAATCATATAAATATGTGTGTAGTAGAAAGGAGGACAGATTATCAATCATGACCTACGACAATAAGAAAATATAAAAGCAAAGTTGGTATATAAAAATTATAATGAAATCTATCAGTTATCCAACGATGGTTGTAGCTGTGATTTTCCAAGTCCTCAGTATATTTATAAGTATTTTTAGGTCATATAGGAGTCATTATGATCATTAATTTTACAGACATGAGACCAAACAAAAGAAATTATATAGCAAAAAATTATGTAGCATAATAAGAAATGTAAAGTAACATGCCACCAAGGAGATAAACTGCTCTGAAAATCAGAGTATATTCAGGGAATCATACATATTGAATCAAATAGAAAAAATAGAGGTTGCAGTACACTACAGAATGGCATGAAACAGGTAAAGAAAAAAAGATATTCGAAATGGTAACACTCCAAACGTGCATTTCATCGAACACCCTGGGGGCATCCATCATCGCTGCATCCTGTAGTAGATGTACTCCGCAATGATGAACTGAAGGGGTTGCTGGAGAGTGGAGACCAGAGGAGCTGACCTCTGATGCAGGGGCCAAGGCCAAACCTAGGCCTGGGCCGCCGAGGCGCCGGGGTGCGGTGACATAGGCCGACGCGAACGGCAACGGCTGTGCTATAGGGCTGGCGCGCGGCGTCGGGGTTCGGCGGCGCAGGCTGCGTCGCCGCGGCTGGGGGAGGAGAGGTAGGGCGGGCGGCCACGCCGGTACGCCGCACGACCTAGGCCCGACAGTACGGCGAGCAGAGGCAGGGCGACCAAGCACGGCGTGAGGGAGAGGCTGAGAGGGCGCTGGAGGCAGAGGAAGGCGCGAGGGAGAGGGCGGAGGATAGCGGAGGGGCGTCTGCCTCACGCGCGGCGCTTGCAGGAGCAGCAGCGGCGTCGTAGAAGCGCGGGGGCTAGAGCCTGCAGGGCTGTGAAGAGCGTGGAGGTTTCCCGAGCTTCTGATCTGGTGCCGTTGATGTGGAATCGGATGGACAGGGCTAACCGATGACGTGGCTCGCTGTGTGCACAGAGAATGGTATCCACAAATAAGGGTAAGGTAGCAAATTTGAAGGTACATGATGTGCGGAAAATATTTTTGCAGACATGTAAATTTTTGAAACAAATATTATGCGCCATACATTGTTTCGCTCTTAACGTATCATACAAATACAAATAGGCAATTGTAGTTTGCAGATTAATATTACACAAGTGATGACTAATGAGGAGTATCACAAGGTGACTTTTAGAAGTGTGCACAAGCTACGCTTA